TGCATATCTGAGCAGCCCCACAGGATTGTCCCTGGGACAGGAGCTCTCTGGGACATCTCCAGCCCCTTTTGGCCTTGTCCTGTCAGCCCTGACTGCAAAGGGATGATTTGTCTCTTTTTACCTCCCATGGTCATCCCAGTCCTCCTTTCCTGTTCCCTCTTTAACCCCAAATTTCCAGCTTTTCCTTCCTCTCTGGTGTGGAATAAATTATTGATATTATAGATATGATATGATATGATATGATATGATATGATATGATATGATATGATATGATATGATATGATATGATATGATACGATATGATACGATATGATATCACATTATATTTAGCTGTGGAGGAGCAGACCACACATCCCACCCCTCCTCCCTGCCTGTTAAATATATTTACATATTTATAATATATTTATGTATTTATAATGTATAGATGTATTTATAATACATGGATATATTCATATCGATATTTTTGTATTTACAAATTTATAATACATTCATATATTTATAATATATTGATATATTTACAATATATTGATATATTTATAATATATTTATTTATTATATATTGATGTATCTATAACACATGTATATATTTATATATTGATAATATATTTACATATTTATAATATATTGACATATTTAGACTGTATTGATACATTTATAATACATTGACATATTTAGAATAGAATGATATATTTATAATGGATATACTCATAATAAGTTGACATATTTAGAATAGATTGATATATATTTATAATACCTTGATATATTTAAAATATATTGTTTTATTTATAATATACTGACATATTTATAATGCACTGACATATTTACAACGTATTTACATATTTATAATAGATTGATGTGTTTATAACATATTGGCATATTTAGAGTATATTGACATATTTAGAGTATATTGATATATTTATAATACATTGATACATTATAATACATTGATATATTGATAGTATATTGATATGTTTATAATACATTTATATAAATGTAATATATTGATAACATTTGATGTATTTATAATGCATTTATACCTTTATAGTACATTGATGCATTGATAATACATTGATACATTATAATACATTGATATATTGATAATATATTGATTTATTTATAATACTTTTATATAAGTGGAATATGTTGATATAAGTAGAATATATTGATATATTGATAACATTTGATGTATTTATAATACATTTACACATTTATAATACATTGATATATTGATAATATATTGATATAACACATTGATAAATTTACAATATATTTATATTTATAACCTCTGTGGCAGCTGCAGCTGCAGGGTCACAGATCTCGCCCCGAGCCCCTCAATCCCCCCCGTTATCCCGGTTTCCCTCCGTGTCCTGACGCTCCGTTTCTCCAGGAATGCCGCTCCTTGCACGGAGAGTTCCACGGCCCCGCCTGCGGCCACGACGGCCCCTACGCGCCCAACGTCCTCTTCTGGTGCTGCATCCTCTTCTTCTCCACCTTTGTCCTGTCCAGTTTGTTGAAGAAGTTCAAAACCAGCCGTTACTTCCCAACCAGAGTAGGTGACAGGTGGTGGCCGGTGACCCACTCTGCGCAACTTTCCCAAAAACGCCATTCCTGGAGCGTTTTTGGATTTGCCGCCACTCGGTCAGGCAGGGGAATGCTGACCTTGGATGTCCCTCTCTCCATTCCATGAGTGCAGGGAGGTTGTGGCATTCCCTGCCTGCCTCAGGACCCGTTCTGGAGCGAAGTTTTTGGCTCAGGCAGTGGGGAATCAGCTCTTCCCAAAGTTATTTATTTCTTTTTACCTTCCAAGCATYGTTTGCTGGAGTGGGAAKTTCATTTGAATGAGGASYTGCCATGGAAAAATAGGAACAAATSATGCCTCAGTGCCTTATTCCCATTTTACCCAGAAACGTGCCACCTTTTGTAATTTTTTAKTATTTCTGTTAATGTTTTAAATTAAAATTTGGATTTCCCCCCTAATTAAACTCTTTCTGCTGTCCCACACCAGATCCCCAGACCTCCAACACGGCAGCAATGTCCACCCAAGGGAGTTGTCTGCTTGTCCTCGGAGTGGTGGGATTTTGGGGACTGACCACTCCAAACCTTGTGGGTGTCCCCAGGTGTCCCCACTCGTGTCCCGGCCCCTCTCAGCCCCGGTTTCTCGCCCCAGGTCCGCTCCACAGTGAGTGACTTCGCTGTGTTCCTCACCATTGTCATCATGGTGCTCATCGACCTCGCCATCGGGATCCCGTCCCCCAAGCTCCACGTCCCCCACGTGTTCAAGGTAACGGGGAGAAGGGTTGGTGGAGGAGGGTTTTGGCACCTCAGGTGACACCAGGTGATGTCAGGGCAGGTCCATGTTGGGCTGGAGGAGGTGCTGGTGGTGGAACCATCTCCTCCATGTCCAAGA